TAATCGCTATAGAGAAGTTTTGTAATTACTCTTGCTATATTAACTATAAATTTACAGTTCAGTTTTTGCGAAAAAAAAATGGTACAGGTGATCGTCGGGAAGAGTTTAATGGTTAACTATTTATATTTTAATTAATTTTACAAATTATTACTATTATTTACAATTATTCACAAGAATTCATAAGATTTAAAAAATAACTAAAGAATTTTAAAGTTTTTCTAACAAATTATTTATATTTATCTATTTTTATTTTTTATTATATATTAAAATTTGTTTGCTAATTATTAAAATTTTTTCTTTTATTTTGATTATTTGTTTGCATTAAATTTACTTACATTTTTTTAGTTTTTTTTTTTTATTTTACAAATATTTAAAAATATATGCAGATATGATTGTAGGCTTAAAGAAAAGTTCTAAGAATAATAAATCTAAGAAAACTAAAAAAAAGACTAAAAAAGTTATATTAGAAAGATCAGAAAGTTTTATAGAGCAATTATCAGAATTGGAATTAGAAAGTAATAACTTTTTGTATTTGTTAGATACTACACCATCTTCTGAAAGTAATAAAAAAATTTTAAAATAAAGAAAAATTTTAAAATATATTTAAAATTTAGGAAATTATAGGTATATCTCGTGAGATATATATAAATTAGATATCTCCTACATATCAACCAATAAAAATATAATACTCAAATAATAATACTGACAGTATTATCTTGTATGCTCTTAAACAATAGAAATCTGATTAATTGTAACAATAAATAAATTACATATTAGTACTGTAGTATATTAGGTAATGCGTAGCATTATGTGTCTGAAGCCTAAACAAATATGAAAATTGCGTTTCTGATATGAATTTCATAATTTTATGTTGGTGCATCAAAAACGTAACTTTTGTATCACATGCCAAATTTAGTATCCTTCACTTCGCTCTGGACAATAAGTCAATTGTTGATTCTTTAGAGATCTTCTAAAACCAGATATATAGTAATATAAGCTTCATGTAACTTTTACTTTACTACCTGGCTTTAAATTTTTTTTAGACAATAAATTCTTATCTTAGTTTATCATATATATATACATATATGACATATATATGTTGTGCAAATATAAAGTAAAATTTTCTCACCTGTGAGTTGTAAAAATAGCAACCCAACTTTCAATCTTAAGAACTCATCATAAGTCTTTATAATGAGTAACTTGTGAATTTTTCAACTAGTATTAAATAATAATAATAAGTAGTAGACAGTTTTAAGAAGTTATTTTACAAGTCATATAAGTAACTTCTGAAACTTTTTTTTTTATAATTTCTAAAGTATGCTAGATTATGTTTAGTAATTATCTTTTTAAGAAAATAACGTGAGTGACAACTACCAAAAGCAGAAAAGAACAACATACCTAATGAAATAAAGTGATCTAATAAAAAAAAAAGTGAACAACTCACCTAACGAAAAAAAGTGACAAAATAAAAAAAAAAGAGAATGACCCACTCAACTAAATAAAAAAATAAGAGTAACAACCCACACAATGAAAAAAAAAGGTGACGATAACCCATTCAACAAAAAAAAAGGTGAATGATCTACCTAAAAAAAAAAGTGATACCGACCTATCTACCTAACAAAAAAAAAAGTGAATAACCTACCTAACTAAATACTGTAATAAAGCAAGAGTAATGACCAACTTAATGAATTTATATTTTAATAATGACTTGTATTATAACGAATATTCAAAGACAAATTCATAATAGTAATAGTAGGTTAGATGTTAGTACTTTGATACAATTGTATTTTGTACGAAATATTAATACCGTCTTTAATGTTTTTTAAGAAATTGTGCCAAATTAATCTTCTATTTTTAATAGATCTGAAGACTCATTGGAGCTTGAAAGCTCATTAAAACCTGAAGGCTCATTAGAACTTGAAAGCTTAGTGGAATCTGAAGATTCAGTAAAACTTGAAGGTTCAGTGGAACCTAAAGATGTAAGATCTGAAAACTTACTAGAACTACTTGAAAATATACTTTTTCAAAAAGGCAAAGCCTACTACTCCCTTGAAGCTTTCAAATATATGGCTAATCAATATTCAGAAGCAAAGGGGTTTAAAGTTATTTACAATAAAGGTAGCAACTGCAATAATGGTTTCTATTATACCCAAGTTTTTACTTGTGATTGTTATAGTCAATTTAAACCCAAGCCTAAAGACCCTAACAAAAAGAATAGAAATGTGGAATCTAAAAAATGTAGTTGTCCATAGTATATTCATCTCAATCATAGCCAAAATGATGATAAATATTACATTTTATAATTAATTCTTCACTACAACTATCTTCTAATTTCAGTCTAGCTTATGCGTATTTCACCTACTGGCTGTGAAATACCAAAAGATATTAAAGAGGAAATTCTGCTCTTAAAAAAAGCAGGTATTCCAACATCACAAATTCAATCACTACTTGTAGTAAAATATGGACTAACTATGAAAAAATGGACATTCTGAGATATGTACAACTTGATTAGCCATGACCATATTTCACACAGTGGATTTTAGGCTCATGATTTTCTTCTCCTCTTGCAGCAAAAATGTAGGAATGATCCTGAGTTTTCTTTTGAATTTGAGTTAGACTATAAAAACTGTTTGAAGTATGTATTATAGACATATTTATCATAAAAATAGCAATATATGCGCTTTCATGATGTAATTGTATATTATAATATATACAAATATAACTACTTTTCGATGCCTTTCAGGGTATTTGCAGGTATTACTAATTAAGGATATTCTTATTGTACTGCTGGCATATTGCTTTGGGATGAGATTCGTTCTAGTTTTGAGTAGCTTTTTGAAGCCTTTATTCATATTTTTTGTACTGCACTCCAGACTATATTTACGGATAATAACCTCCTGATGGCTGATGCCATTCATTCTGTTCTAACTAATAAACATAGCATAAAGCACGGTCTGTGCATATAGCATATGCTTAAGAATATTAGGTCAAATATGATTTCCAAGCTTGAATTCAAATATGGTATGTTTCATATAAATCTTATGAAATGTTTAAGTAATTATATCAATTAAAGTGAGTTTGATGAGCGATGGAACAATGTTATGGTAAATGATAACTACGCTGAGGCGAGATCGTATTTAGAAGTTCTTAATTAATAGTAGGAGAGGTGAGCTCTGGCATATCTTAAAGACTATTTTTTTGCTAACATGTCATCAACACAAAAGAGAGAATTGATAAATAAATTACTAAAGAGTTTTCTTAATAGTAAAACCACACTTACTGATTTTCTAGCTGCGTTCAAATGAGCACTTAATGCTTATGAGGAAGCTGAGGATATTTCTGCATACAAGAAGCTTGTTTACTCTTCTCGTTCTACTTCCAAGAACCTATTGAAAATCAAGCAGCTAATTGTCTAACATGATATATATGAAAGAAATTTTCTGCTGAATGGAATAAAAAGGATATGTATATGTATGAAGAAATAGCTAGTGAAAATGAGTTGCATCGTTTTAAATTATTATGTTATGAGAAATCTGATACTATACATTGGGTATATTATGATAGCTGTATACTTACTTGCAGTTGTCATAACCTTGAGTTTGCTAGAATAGTATACTGCTATTCTCTTGCAGTAGCAGTTTGCCTTTCATTTTCTCAACTCAATGATTTTCACTTTCTAAAACGTTAGCAGAAGGATCTGCCTGAATTAGAGCTTGCAAAAGCTTATATTAATTTTTATAACTACTCACAAACTCAAGCCTTAAGAACTCTAGCATTACAGGGATCTTCTAGTGAATCTTCTAGTAAATGTGCCTCCAAACTTTAGTATATGCATATTAATCAATTATCAGGAAAAATTGCAAGTAAGATTGCAGCTGATCCTAATAAATGTGTGGACTTTACATTGTATCTCAAGGAATATTTAGAAGCTTTGTATATCAATACTGACAGTAGTTCGAATTCAACTCGTATAGAGAATATGACAGCATCTTTACAACTTCCAGTAATTAATAATCTCCCTAAGAGCAAGGCAGTTGAAAGGTCAAAGAAAGGAAGGATCAGATCCCAAAAAGAGAATACATCTGTAGCTATAGTGAAAAAGAAGCATGGTCAACTAAAAAAAGCTTTTGAAAAAAGCTTAACCAAAAATCAAAGTGAAAATAACAGTCTGAGCTGCTTTAGAAATATATACAGAGTGTGTAATAAGGTAAATTTTTATATTATATTATTAATGTTTGATGTTTATATAGTTAAAAAAAACTTATTTTTAAAATTTGTCACTGTTTAAGGTATTGTGATATATGTTAGAATCAGATATTTGATTTTGTTTAACGCATGCAAGGTCTAGTACGACCGAAATTAATGTAATTATTATAAATAAGATTTTTACTTTGACTAAAATATTAAATTTGCATTTATTAAATGTTAATCAATGATATTCTGTTTTATTTATAGATAGAAACAAACTTATAAATAATATTCCTGTACAGAAAAAATACAAAATATGTATAAAAAAAAAGCTTAACTAATTGCTTTCTTTTTTGTCTTGTAATTGCTATGTTGTCTTTCTCCTAGGTGCATTTTATCATTAGACTTACAAATTCTATAAAAATAAAATAAGAAAGGCTATTATTATTATTATTATACAATTTGAGTTTTCAAAATATTTAGATATTTTAATTTTGTAATTAGTGTTTATTTCCAAATTCAAAATTAATGGTGTATATATGTACGTTGTTATATATTTTGTCAATAAGATTGTTAGAAAAACGGAATATAAGAAATTAAAAATTGACTAGCCTTGCTTTTATTGAAACTATCGTTGTGATATGATTGTAATGCATACTTAAGGATAAAGAAACTTTATACGAAATGCTTGATTACAGATTTGTAAAATTAGTTGAACAGGTTTAATCAAAATTATATATTAGACTTTCCTTTAAGTTAATTTAAAGGAATCTTTACGATCAATTTCAATGCAATAAATAATAATTACAAAATGTTTTCTTTTATTGTATTCATCTAAAATAACGTCTCCAGGCATTATTTAAGGTATGAAATTTGAAGAGAGCTAATAATTAATTTAGCCAAATATGAGTGACAATTTTATTTTTAAAAAATCTTCAGCTAAATTAATTCTTAGCTCTTTTCATATTATATACTCTAAGTAACACCCCGAGTTAAAGATAGACTATAATAATAATATTTGCGTGACTAAAATTAATTGTATTAGTAGGCACTAACAAAAAAATTTATTGTAAAATTTTGCATATCCTAATGTCTAAATAAAATCCCAGGCCTTACCCTAACCCTAAAGTAAATGAAAATTTATTTAATATTTTGAGTGACTTTAACCTGGGTAAAAATAGAAATTCCATTTTTCTTATTATACTGTGCTCTGTTTGATGAGAATATTAGTCGATGTAAGTTAATGTAAGTCGATCATCTAATGCAACTGAGATTTCATGAGTATGCTGTTTTTAAATAATCAGTATCACATGATATTGAGGTATTTTTATTGGTAAATATGTGAGATATATATAATTATATATATCTCACAGAAGATGCCTAAAATTACCTTTAAAATTTTTATATAATTTTCAAAATAATGAGCAACTTTAAGAAAGTGCAATATAGATTTTTATTAAATCATAAGATTGATTTAATATTTGCTAATTATGCTATTAATATTTAATTATTTTACAATATTACAAATATTTTTGAAATTTTTATTATTTGATTATACTATTTAAGCAAATACAGTATTAGATCATTTGATAATTTATAATCTTTATAATCAATTATTATTTTTGAATAATTGCAAAATTATATAAAAATATTTAAATAATTATTTTCTGTTCAATCATTAAATTAATTTGAAAGTTCCATATATTTTTAAAAATTTTTGAAGATATTAATATTTTATTAATTGTAATTTTTTTAATAATTAGTATCTGAAAAAACTATAGCAAAAATTCTTGAAAATCAAAGAGAAATTTTGTATCAAATTAAACAACTTTCCTCTCAAGTTCATCAAGTTAATAACCATATTAAAGAAATAGTGAAGAAGTTGAATAATAAAAATGATGTATTAAATAAAAAATCTTTTATGAAGTAACTATATAATATTTATTTTAATTTTATTTTACTGTATAAATTATTCTAATAAATTTTTTATAATAGCAAATTATAAAAGAGGCTACTAAAAATTTGATAAAAAGAGTTATATATCTTAAAGAAGAAGAATTTAAGTTAGCTGTGGAGGTTTACATAAGAGTGAATCATTCTGAATTTATTTCAGAAAAATCAAAAAAACAGTAGAATACTTATTATAAGAAGAATTTTCATAGACTAGTAAAAATTTTTCACTATTTTTATTAAATAAGTATTGTCTAAAAAAATGAATAACTTTAAATTTAATTATAATTTTTGGTTAAAAATATCTTAACAACTATTTGATAATTATTTGTTAAAAAATCTTAAATCAAAAAATTTATAATAATATTTAAAGTTGATCATCTTTCTCTTGATAGTACTCAAAAAGTTTAATTAAATATAATATTTAAAATAATTCAAAATATTTGAATATATTTCAAAATATTTCAAAATATTTCAAATTAATTTAAACTATTAAGAATAATTTCAAATATATTTAAATATTTTGAATTATTTTAAGAGCAGAGGATACATAGATCATTTTTCATATAATTTTTGTACTACAATATAATTTTGACAAAAAATTAGCCTATGCTACTAATAAAACTTTTTACTGTTGCAATTAATTTTTATAAAATTTTTATATAATATAAAATAAGATATATTCTTTATAATAGTAAATTTTTAATAAATAAAATATTTTAAGAAAATATATTTGTATATATTGCAAAATTCTCTGTAGTGTTTAAAAATTCTTCATAGTTATACAAAATAATTGATTTTGATTAGTTCAAATCATATGATCTTCATATAATTTATATAAACAATTTATGATATCTAATTTTTAAAAATATGTATTTTGATAAATATCTATTTAAATTTAATAAATTTATTACTATTAGAATCAGAAAAATCTATTCTACAATTTTTAATTAATTTTTAAAAGCTATTTACTTAATAAAATATTTTTTTATTTTTAATTAAAATTATTCAAATATTGAATATATTTGAAATTATTCTTAATATTTTAAAATATTTCAAAAATTTTCGAAATATTTTAAATAATTTCAAATATATTCAAAATATAATTTTTATTAAATTTTTATAGCTTTTAGAAAAATTTAGATTATTGCAGAGTACTTTAATTACTAAGATCAAGAATACTATATTTGCTATATTTGAAGATCTTTTAATCTCTATTAATAATAAAGCAAAATCCGAGAATATACTTGAATAGAAACAATCTAATAAAACTAAATCCTGTTATAAGTAACTTTTTAAGAATATTTTTGATAATACAGAAGATACTTATATATTGTAAATATTAAAAAAGATTTGGTTTTCAAATAATGCAACTCATGAAAAAGTTGTATATGCAATAGCAGTCTGCCAAATTATGCTTAATTCAAAATAAAATAGTTTGATGATATTAGAGAGTATTATAAAATATAAATTTTCAAGAAATTTGATATGAATTTATTATTATTTTAATGTTATAAAATTTTTATTAATTTTTAAATATTATTAAAATATTTCTCATAAATTAGAGAATGTTAGAAAATGATAAAAAATTTTCTCTGTCTGATTCTGATAAAGAAATATCAAGTTCAAAAGAAAGTGAAATTTTAAAAGATTCTGAAAAAGTATTATATTTTATTATTATATTAATAATTAATTTAATATATTTCAAATAATTCAAAAATATATATAGTATTTTAAAAATTATTAAGAATAATCACAAATTTTGCTATGAAGAAAAAATTTTTAAATTTATATAAATAGCAAAATATTTTAATAGTTACATATTTGCACAAAGTTATAAAAATCTTAAAAATATTTTAGAATACTATATATAGTTTATAATTATTAGTATATTACAAATATTTACAAATAATTTGAAAAATAATGTTTTTATATATATGTTTCATGAATATCACAAAATTATTAATTTATTAAAAATTTTTTTAATATTAATTACAAATAACAAATTTATTAGACAAAAAAAAAGGCTAAGAGAAGATATAATCATTAAATTACTAGATAAAATAATAAATTATAATATGTAATATATTGTTAAAATTCTTGTATAATTTAATAATATTCAGTATTTTTGCTGATATTTGAATATTTTCTCAATATTACATATTCTTAAGAATTTTCATTTATTTTTATTACTATTCAATTTAGATTTATTTTATAAATATCAAGATACTGAAGATGAATTATAAAACTTTTTTGTTTTTTGCTTTTTTTAATTTACAAATAATATTTTTTTTTTTTTTTTTTTAGCAAATTTTGAGTAAATCAGAAAACAGGAATTTAACTTTAAATTGAAACTTTTTTGTTTTTTGCTTTATTTACTAATAACTTTTTATTAAGAAATTTCAGATTATTTAAATATCATCAAAAATATTCAATGATTTTGATTTTTTATAAATTTTATCAAATATTTTTTTATTTTTTTTTTATTATTTTTATTTGATATATTAAATCATTTAAATAAAGTTAAATTGAATTAAAAATAATTAAAATTATAATAAAATAATAAAGTATATTAAATATATATTATTCCTTAAATTGTAATACAGGCAAATTTGCCTGCATCCACTTTTAATTTTTGTAATTTTTAAAATAAAACCTTAAATATTAACTTTAAATATATACTTTTTAAGTAAAATATAT